CACTGGTGCTGCAACAGCAGCTTGTGGGGGTGTTTTACTGAGGTGAACGACGCGCCCCACGCACAACAACAACAACAGTCAGAGCCATCCAAGCGACAGCGTCTGAAATCTGTGGGGAGTGGAGGTAGCGTTGCATTTTATACTTCATATCTGTCTGGCAGGCATGATACAAGCGAACCACATTACTGCCTCAGTTGAAATGCGCAGTTACGGGCCGAGCACAAAGCAACGACGCCACTGCGTAGAAGACTGACAGGAAAAATAATATTAAGGCAAGGTTGAGGAACGTGTTGAGAACAAAATTGAGCACTGTTAGAAATAGCACTCGATGGATTCTCTCTCCTGCTCTTCTGCTTTGGGGCATTCAACTTGGACAGGTGCGAGACGGTCAGTCGGTTTCATGTACCGTTGCAGCGATCAGCACACAAGTGGAAGAGAACAATGAGTGGCAAAACATGGGGAGAGCCGCACACGCACATTCATCAGGATTTGACAACGACGCGCAATATATTTAACTGCGAATATCGTGAAACTACGTAGCAATAAGTTGCGAACTGAGCGAGACAAGCAAATACATATGTATGTATGTGTGTATGTACTTGCATATGTATATGTTTGTATGTACATATGTATGTACGTATGGCATAGATGCATTTGCATTTAAGATACACCACATGCGAGCGAAAGTTAGTTGCAGAAGCAAATGGCTTCCTTGTCTGTGCATATGTACATACATAGTATGTATTTGAGGCCTGAGATATTAAGAAATTAACAACATTTATAAAAGCATTTATATGCGCTTTGATATGAAACAGCCGAAGTTAATTGAACTTTGGCTGGCGTTCTTTGTGTGTGGTATTTGTACTCATGTTTGCATGCGTGTGTAATGTAATGTACTGTAATTACCCCACTTTGTTATGACGGTGTTCATTATTATCGTTGCTGACGCGCAAAAGCTAATTGCTTTGTCTTGTCTTGTAGCTGGTATCTCTAAGCCGTTGTTTACAGTGTGACCGACCGCAGCGCAAGACGAAAATGTACTAAATATTGATTCTAATTGGGAAAATTTGATTATAAGAATTTTTAAAATTGATTTAAAGAAACATAATTTCAGGTTTTTAATTAGTTACTTAAGGTTAATTTAATATAACTCTCTAATCACAATAACTCATGTGGTTTTTATACTTTCCTTGAAATTTATTAAAGATACAAAATTTTTGTTTAAATGATTTTCATAATTTTAAGTGATGGCAATATAATAATTTGCATAAAAAATTGGTACATTGGACGGTGGATGTGTGAGTAAAAATAAGTCAGGTAAACACATATTACGACAGAGATTTCAGCAATAACAAAAATATTCGTTTAAATGAAAAGGTCTGAAAGTGGACGGAATGAGGCTTAAACACTATGTAGATATATGTAAAAAAATTTGCAATTGCAATTCGTTTTTGATATGTACTAGACATGGATTGAACGCATCTAAGGCACGCAACTGGTGAATGTGGAATGTTTACACATAAATCCCTGCCAAGCCATGGCTTAGAGGAGTTCTAATGGACGGGATTATTGAGCTTAACGTGCGATTGATACGACAGTTAACCCACTGGCATTGTGGATACCGTGCTGTGGGGTGTTGTGGGACGAGAGCCGGCCAGCGAATTGGCTGTTGAGGCGTGCAGCGAGGCCATGGTGCCCATCTGAAAGGATGAGAGTATTAACAGAGGCTCTTTGGGTATTTGAAAAATGATGAGACTTACGCGCAGGTGCGCCAAATCCTCCAGCTTGGTCAGGTCCACCAGCTCCAGGAACAGCGAATAGACAACGGCCCAGCCGTAGATGGAGACCAGGCAGAAGATGCTCCAGAGCAGCACCATTATGATGTTGTAGGCAAAGTACAGGTCGTTCACAATGGCAAAGAAGATGAGGGCCAAGGCGCGCCAAATGGTGAAAATGGCAAAGCTCCACAGCCAGGGCATTACCTTCCGCTCGTACTCCTGCAAGAATTCATAGACTATGTTAATGGAGCTCCTTTATATATTGTTTGGTTAAATAATGAGGTGTCTAAACTAAATGTTTGGATGTTGGATGTTTTTGTTACCCTTCGGCTCAGTAAGCGTTTCTGTGCTCCAAGTTTTTCTTGCTTGAACGCATGTGTGAAATGAAAGTGAAAGTCTCTGCCAAACGAAAAGACTTAAACTTAACCTTTGGCTTACCTTACGCAAGGCCACGCACAGCAGGATGCTGGTAACGAAGTTCACCAGGGCCATAATCAGCGAGAAGAGGGCGAATACGATCAGCATGTTGCGGACTGGAAAATAAGCGAGGCTTTACATAATTCTTTGGCAGATAAATGACCGCATATATACCGTGCTTGTTCCCAACGTAGACAAACTCATACGATATAATATAGTAACCGTAATGCGTGGATCCTGGGGCAGCCATCGCATAGCAGTAAATGTCAAAGATCGTGGTGGCAATGGTGAAGAGCGAAAGAAACTGCGAAGGGAGGCACTCGAATCAGCAAATGTGCAAATACAAACACACCACGGAACTCACCACAGCGAACAGGCCAATCAGCATGGCTCCCTTCTGTATATCGATGTATTGGTTGTTCTTCAGGAGCGGCCGCTGGTACCAAGGAATGCGAACGCTTCGCGTGGAGCGCGACATTTTCGAGTGCAAATTCGTAGACGATCTGCAAAGCAGTTGATTATATACATCACTGGCAAATCTTTATCAAATTATATTTACTTACCTGCCCGTCGCATGGGAATACATCGAGGGATTCGACCGATAGGTCGAGGGCGTCTTGCGGCCGTAATTCATGTTGAGCCTTGTTCTGTGACGTCACGAAATGAAATTCGATTGGAGATTCAAGCAGTACACAAGAAGCAGCTGCAAAATGGAAGAATAGAAGTTGTGATAACATTTCAATAATTTTGCTAACGGGCGTGTCTGATTAATTTGTTATTATGGGTGTGTCTGCTTCACATGAGAAGCCCAGCTTGAGTTCACAGTTTTTGCTAGTAGATTTGCAGGCCAAGGCCCGCTGCGTGTCAATTATAAGGTATGGCATTTAGATTGGTGTAATCCATTGTTTGTTCTGCGCGCTTTTAACTTGTGGTATCCATTTATTTACCTGAAAATAATTAAATTCTGTTGCTGAGCTACGCATCAACAACAAACACACTGAATCACAAAAGTGCTGCCCATCGATTGACACAACAATTGCCCTGTTGCACTGCAAAGAACGGTGGCCCAACTGTTGTGCAACAGATGTATCGATGTTGCGCACAATCGATTTCCACGCCAATCAGCTGAGTGTCATCAGTCGTTGTGACTGTCAAATGTATTGTTATGGTTTTTCCTAATTATAGAGCAATCATTTAATTCGAAAACGAATTAGCTGAAACTTCCTATATATAAATGGCCTTATAATACTGTTCAATCATGACACTGCCGCGAATAACAGACTATGACATACAAGAGAAACTTGGAGTGGGCAGCTATGCGTCTGTTTACAAGGCGCGCCATAAAGTAAGCCGACGAATAGAATAATTTTCCACGAATCAACTTATCTCACTCTCTAAATTTATTTAGAAACAGGGCACTTATCACGCTATTAAGTATGTGGAAATGTCCACGTTGTCCCAAAGCTCTCGCGACAATCTAATAACGGAAATTCGTCTGCTGCGTGACCTCAAACATAAATATATTGTGACGCTGCAGGACTTCTTCTGGGATGACAAGTGGGTTGAATGGTGTACTCGATTGGGAATTTAAAAAACTCTTTAATTTTCCTCTGCTCTTCCTGCTCAGAAACATATACATTGTATTGGAGTATTGTAATGCGGGCAATCTATCCGCCTTCATCCGCACAAAGAAGGCGCTGCCGGAGTCCACATGTCGCTATTTCTTGCGGCAGCTGGCCGCGGCTATTCAATATATGCGAGCCAACGATGTCTCGCACTTTGACCTGAAGCCACAGAACTTGTTGCTGACGCGCACTGCTAACAATGTCTACCTAAAGGTTGCAGACTTTGGGTATGTACATATGAAGAGGATTAGAGCCTATTGTTTAAAGTCTTCCTTGTATTTAACAGATTTGCGCAACACCTTAAGCTGGGCGAGATCAATCAGCAGCTGAAGGGCTCGCCGCTGTACATGGCGCCAGAGATTGTGCGCAAGCACCAGTACGACGCCAAGGCGGATCTGTGGAGCGTGGGCGTCATTCTATACGAATGCCTGTTTGGGAAGGCGCCGTACAGCTCGCGAACCATTGAGGAGCTGCTGCTGCGCATCCGAAAGGCGGAGCCCATTGTGCTGCCCCCGAATGCGCGCATCAGCAACGAATGCCACGATTTGCTGCGGCGCCTGCTGGAGCACGAGCCAGCGCAGCGAATTTCGTTTGCAGATTTCTTTGCGCATCCCTTTCTAGATCTCAAAACATTTCCCTCGGAGAAAACGATGAAGAAGGCCATAGACCTGGTCACCCAGGCGGTCGAGCACGATGAGAAGCGCAACTACAAGGAGGCCTATTATTTGTATTGCAGCGCATTGCAATATTTTGTGCCGCTGATCACCGAGGAATCGGACGCCAGTCGGCGCCAAGAGCTGCGCCATCGAGCGCTCACCTACATGAAGCGCGCGGAGGAGATTAAAAACGTTATCATCGAGGACGAGTACAAACTGTTGGCCCAGCGTCAGCAGAAGGCATTGGAGAAAGGCGCCGCTGCCACAGCCGCCGAGGCTGCCAATCCTCAGACACAGCCCAGCACATCCCGCATGATGGAAATGCTTGAGCCGGATGCACGCTATAAGCAGCTTTGTATGAGATTTCACTTAATCCAATTATCATTGACTCCGCAGTATTAAGGGCAACCTTTGATATCTGTTAACTGAGTCCATATCTTTACAACTTGGGCACAGGTGGGAGTGGCTGTCGCAGCTGACCACTTGCGATGACAGCGGAAAATAATCTGCTTAGTCGCTGATTCATTATCTTTTACATATACCGATTCACGTTTCATTATCACACCGTAGCTTTAATTGGAAATTCCCTGAGAGTAACATTGTACATTGAATTGCAGTTGCCCTATCGAACTCGAGCCCCTCGCTGAAGACTGGCCTGGAGATCGGACGGCAGGGCGAGCTCTACTTGTACGAGCGCAAGCTGGACGCCGCCTTGGAGTCGTATACCTCAGCCCTGGGCATTTTGGTGCCGTTTGTGAACAACGAGCCGAAGGGCGAGCGCCGCAACCTGCTGCTGCAACAGGTGAGCTCCTGCTCTGTGGTTCCACCTGAGTTCTCTGTCAATCCTGATTCCCTTTCAGCTGGAGTTCTGGATCAAGGAGGCTGAGAGCATCAAGAGCATACTGAGCGCCAAGCACCTGGATGAGGAGGAGCAGAAGATGTCAACGGTACGCAGCTGCACCATTCAGTAGCGAGTTGATCCGATGGTTAAGTGTATTTTTGTAGACAGATGCCCTCAGCATCGCTTAGTGAAGTAGCGTAGTTTGGTATTATATA